GAGAGAGAGAGAGAGAGAGAGAGAGAGAGAGAGAGAGAGAGAGTCTTTATGTAAATTGCAAGACTATTGTGAAAAAGCACAAAAGTTTTGCAACCAATCAACACATTGTAAGTAATTGGAGAAGGATTCTTATTTTGTGTGTGTTTATGTCTGTATGTTTTATGTTTGTCTAAAAATAAAAACTTTTTTATAAAAAAAACAATTAGCATCCTTTAATTATGAAAGCTACAAATTTCACATTAAGCAAATATGGAGATTGGGATTCAGTTTCCAATGCATAATTTTGGCGTGATTTCATAATCCACTAGATAAATATAGTTTAACTATATCTTAGGAGTTATCCTGCAGACACTGAATAACTCACATTCCACATACCTTATTGTGGGTCCTTACATCGTAAAGAGCAGTTAAAGCTGCAACATTTCTTGAGTCCTCCACAATCATAATCATTCTTGCAGCTTTTATTAAAAATGCGAGGGCATTTTATAGTTTCTATGGGGCAACTTTTAGGTACTTCTGTAAGAATTTTTTTAAAAAAAGAAACCAAAAGTAAGTGATATATTTTTCAGGAAAGGTTTTGTCACCCACCAATTGATTCCACCAATCAGTGGAACAGCTTGCCTCCAGAAGTTGTGAATGCCCCAACATTGGAAGTCTTTAAGATGTTGGATAGCCATTTGTCTGGAACAGTATAGGGTTTCCTACCTAGGTAGGGGGTTGGACTAGAAGATCTCCAACATAACTCTGCTATTGTATTGTACCATATCTCTCAACCTTTATTTCACAATTATTATAAAAAAGATACATTACCAAGAATCAAATGATATAGCTGGGCCTGTGCTTGCCTAGTTCTATACAAGTCAGAAAGTATTTAATATACCTCTATCATTAGTAGGCAATCTGACCCCGCTAAGGTGATGTAATTGATGGTTAGGGCCCTCACATGCCTATCAAACCTTAGAGGATGCTATCTGCTTACAACTGAATTGAAGTGCCCAACATGCTTAGCATCAACTCTTCTTTTGCAGGGCTTTTTTGGACAGTCCCACCACACCATATCACCTACTTTCTACACTTCATTGATGATCTTGAAATAACTCTTCCCATTGGTTGCACGTGCCTTTGAGATGGTGCTTCAGATGAAGCACCTTCGCAAAGCCACTTAGCAATGCCAAGTGCCTTCCTTGCTCCTAAAGGTAAGCTACCCTGGTTTACAATCCCTCCTCAACCTCTTCTTGCAAGAGACCTCTGGCAACCTTTGCAAATGCTGCAGGATGCTAAGAAGAAGAAAAGGCACTAGGAAGTCTTTCACACCCACAGGATTAGCATAGAACAGATTTAGATGGCTTTGCTTCCCTATACTTATCCTTCTTTTGTAATGCAATTGAAGCTGACTTTTTCCTACTTAGCTTGACACTAGAATGAACACACTATATCAATGTTGGTGAACCTTTTCGGCACTGAGTGCTGAAATGAAAGCGCACGTGTTGTGTGTGGGAGCACCAGAAACCAGAAGAGTAGCTCCTTGGTGCGCATGTGTGGGTGCATCAGAAAGCAGCAGAGTAGTTCCCGGTGCACATGCATGTCCTGGAAACTGTACGCTCAGCTTCCTGGTGTGCACATGCACGACAGAGAGCTGCTCTTCCAGTTTTCGGGGGTCCCACGTGTGCAAAGACTGGCTGGCTGGTGCGCCAGAACTCAGAAGAGCAACAGGTGACGGCTGGCGTGCCCAGAGAGGTTGCTCTGTGTGCCACTTCTGGCACACTTGCCATAGGTCACAGCACTATATGGATTCTACAGTATTCCAATTTCTTACAAAGAAGGAGGAGGGAAGAGAGGAGGAGGAAGAAGAGGGTCTAAAAATACTGCCTCAGATAAGTTACTGAGTACAGTACCTTGAGCAGGGGAAATGCAAGCTTTTCCGCAGACATCTACGCAGCATTTCTTTTGACGTGGGCACTCCTCGTCATTCTCACACTTGTTTTTAAAATTAACATCGGAACAAAGTTGACTGACGCCTGGGCAAACTCCAGGTTTCACTGTAAAAATATGATGGGACAATCTTAATCATATCAGAAAAGATCTGCAGAAATTAAAAAAAATCCTATACTGGTTGTGATTTACGTTTAGTTATTCTATCTCTCAGTGCATGCGCATGGCTGAAAAATGATTCATCTCATGAATGAAGGTGAATATACGTGTCCCAGGATAATGTTGTAGGATCCAATCTGGATTCTTTAGCAGAGAAGATCCCTGAAGAATGGGCTCCAGCACAAGTCCAAAAACTCGGAAGACGAAACCTCTGGTCTAGGTGACCAACGCAGATTGGATCCTGTGAGGATTAATCTGTTCGCCAGATTAAGTATTTTTAATACCTCACCACCCTTCAGACCTTCCGCACAGCCCTCAAGATCTGGCTATCCCGCCAGGCCTGGGGGTAAAGA